TGTTTTCAAAATCGGGTCTTACTTCCTGCCTTCTCTTTTACCTGAATGCTGGGTCATGGACAAAAGACTTTGCTTTCTTAGGATTGGTACTCTGGCCTTGTGCATCCGGGCACGCGTGTTACGCGTTTTCGTATATTGTGAAAGCTTTTGCATGGGGTGGGTTCGGGATGGGGGAGGGGGCAGTAATCAAAACACAAAAACACAAAGAATCAAAGTTCAGGAAAGTTTTCTGCTTCACAGTCCACTGTCAATATTGGCCCGGGTCATCGCCCTATACGGTGTGATAAGCAAATTGTCACTGGACTGACTGAGAGCGCAGGTGGTCCTCGGGGTCCAGTGGTAGCACACTTTCTCGGAAAGCACTGGGTCCGTATTTGATTTCTGGCTGAGGCATACAATTTTCTCTCATGGCTTAGCCTTCTCGTGCTAACTTTCGCATCGCAAACAGGTGAAAAACAGCTATTAAAACATTCTGCTCAGTTAGCGTTATGAAATTGACAACAATGACAGCCTTCCGGGTGCACTACTGAAAGGGAGCAGGGCTGTGCTTCATCGTACCCATGATCAAAGTCCATCTCTGAGAAAGAAAGGGCGTGGTTGCGAGAGGCAGGCAGGGACACATATAAAAGAGGGGAGTCCGAATGTGCCGGGACGCCCTTTTTTGCTCTTCGATATGAAAGCTGGAACTTAGCGGTTCCTTAAAGACAAAATGTGCGCTCACCTCAGAGGACGGTCATTTCCTGTGCAATGTGAATGGGTTTTTAGCTGCAGTGGCGTGCCACTTTCTCCGCTCCAAGATGCACGGGAACAAGGCTGGAGAGTCGTGGTACCCGGTGCTGTCTCCATACTCTGCCCACGCTATCCTCAATGTGCAGCACTTGCGTCGATACCAAGGTCCCACGAAATACATGCTCAGCTGTAGAGAACAAGCAGAAGTAATAGGGCACAGACAGGTAGCGCGTTTGGCTATGATTAGGCGTAAGACTGTCCGTGCGGCAGTGAGGGAGGAGTGTGGAGATTGCATCGGTTAGCACTATCCTCCAGCTTCGTCCCGTAGACTTTTGACCAGTGAAAGGCAGCTACTGCAGCTGCGGCTCCATTCACACCACACATAGCAAGGACCAGGATCCACCGAGGTGAGCGTACAGTTGGTGTTTAGCGAAAAAAATCTTGAACTAATTTTTAGAAATCATTTTGCAGGTTGGAGATTCAATAACAACGGGTGCAAAAAACGTTGTAGTGTGGAATAACATACATCACAAAACGAACGTCACTGGAGGACCACAGAAGTACGATTTCTGAAATTTTTGTAGAGACTTCGTTTCAGTAGTGCAATATTGTTTTTGCTTTTTTCCGAGTCCGCTATTATACCCTATATAGTCTTTATAACTGAAGTTTCAACAGATCTGATGATGGTGTACTCTACACACCCTAATAATGAGTGGTAAGGTGCTCTCAAAGATTGAAGAGCAGTGTCTTCTAAAGAGAAAATTCCGCTGTAACGGACTTTTTTGAGCACAGGAGGAGATTCGAGGCACACATCATCGTAGCGGTCTGTATCCCATTTGGGGAGAGCGACAATACTCTCTTTTCCTGTATCTGATATGAGGACTCGCTCTTACGAGCTGCTTCTATGACCAAATGACAATGTGTAACCTATGGAACCTCTCATTTTATTTCATAACTAGACGCTGCGCGTTTCTTGGAGATTCGCTCTCCAACGGGATAAGCCACGTTGTGACTGCTCGTCTGCACCCTCTCATAGGGACACCGTGACGTGGCTTTGTCACGTGCCCTCCTGAGAGCGGGGAGATGCAAAAAAGCAGAAAATTGTTAGCACGGCAGTTTTCCTGCGTCAGTCACGGACGGCACGCCCGTTGGGAGGTCACCCTCCCCCTACGAGCCACATGGACCGCCCATTAGTCCTTCTTCTTTTATTTGGAAGATTTTAATGGCAGGCTTTTCTCTAGTTTGCCCATTGGGCTAACCTTAAGGTATAGCAAGTTCTAGTCACTGCGTCTCATCTTTTGTACCAAGTACTGTAATAGTGTTTATTACGAAGTATGGTGGCATAACTTCATGAATTTATACACAGTAACGCAATTATTCCATGTTTCCATAGTCTCTGAATATTTCAGATATGGATATCCTGATCCCGATTATCTCAATAGGGTCAAGGAAGACCTTTCAGCTATGGGAATCACTGAGGAGATGGTACCGCCAGACATCGGCATTTAGTCAGTGCTAACTTCAGAAAAGCGGATGTGATGGACCAAGGAATATAATATCAAGCTCTATCATGTATATATGTATGTACTTGTGTATGTATGTATTTGTTTTACACTTTGTTATTCAAAGGTAATATGGCGTGTACCGCATAAATTAGTTTCTCAACCAGCTGAAGTACGTCTATGTTTCTATGGCTCCATGGAAATTTATTTCCGTTATTCAGCGTTTCGGCGGAATTCGAAACCCTTCTGCCTTGTGTTTTGTTTCACGGATGTGTTCGGCGTCGAATAGGGAGAGTCACCGTGGAAACGTTAAACTTGTTCGCAATCACTTCCAGCAATGTGAGGTTCCAATACTGATGTACGTATTAAAGGTTTACCTGACAGTGAGAAGAATTATTTAAGCGCATGGCAAGTTGAGATCGATCTGCTGCTGCTTAGAATACGTCATCTCGCCATTCGAAAAGGCGTGACGAGGGTCACGCTGTAGTCAACACAGTGCGTTCATCCTTGCACTTGATAGTCAATGTCAGTGCGGCTGCGTGCGGCGCGGTCGTCAGCACCCGTACTGCACCAATCGTTGAACCAGGAGAGTACATCACTGTGTTATATCTTGTTTGTTACTCGTTTTCTATCACTTTTTGTCGCATACGCGTTTCAACGAAAAGGCTGAGAAGGCTTCAAACAGTGTGCACGCTCCTTCTCGCCGACACGCCCCTATCAAGTGCAAGGATGACGACTGTACAGTGCCCACTTCAAGATGTCGTCGGCCTGCTGGACTTCGAGTCTAGCCAACAGGATTTTCGGCCTTTAGTTATGTTGCACGGCTCGCCCTCAAGGGAACAGCGATTTAGTGGGGATTTTGATCGATTCGCACGACCCCCCCTTTTTTTTTGTGGAGAGCGTCGGGGGGGGGGGGTCGGTGACCCCCCCCCTAAAGCAAACAGTGAAAAGGGAGTTTTCTCACTGTTTGTTTTTTGAGCTCGAGCTAGGCATACCTATATGACGGCTCTAAGTTGTAAAGGCATAAAGTGATACCACTCCAAGTTTGGAGGAATACTGCCTGTCAACTTTTGTGAAGCAATGCATACGAGGATGTGAAATAGCGAATGTGCTGATCCTCCCCATCCTACAAAGCCTAAGGTCGTATTCATGCTTGACAACTTGGAAGAAAAGACGAAACTGCGGATAGTATAACGTGCATGCCACCGATTTTGAAACATGAACGAATCGGGAGAAATACAGAAATTCCGAAATGCTGAACAACGTCTTTATACGGATTAATTGCTTGGCCCACTATTGGGAGAGAATCTCTTCATTAGAGAAACCAAAAAAAGCAAACAATACTAAACAGAAAAGGACATAGGAACAGCTGCAATCAGCTGGAAAACGGCCGAGGAATCGACTGGAAGGGAGTCTGGGCAGGACCAACGCCGCAAGGTGGTTCGGAGATGGGGGCGCGTATTTTCAGCGAAACAACCTTGTCTTCGAGCGGCCCATAACTTCCGCCAAAAGAGAGGCGGACATCCTGTGGGAAGAGGAAGAAAGCAGTTCATTAGAAAAAGTTCGGCTTCCGCGAGAGAGTACTGAAATTGTTCACGAAGGTCGCCAAATTCAGAGAGAAATTCAGGTTGGGGATCTATTGAGGATGCATGCAAACTGTCCTGGTTTGAACGAAGATATTTTCCTTAAAACTCAACAGTTTGCAATTTGAAAGCAGTGTCGAATAGAAGATTTCCTCTTTCCAAAATCCACTTATGCTCTTTGTGAAGCTTCTCGTATTCATGAGATAATTGCGTTGCGGCTTTATTAAGGAGCACTCCGAGCTGCTCGAAAAATCCGTTTTCTGTGTACCGTTCAAGCGATGCGCACCTCGGTATATCCAAAATGCATCTGCAGTAAATCAATCCCTTCGTGGAATAGGAGCAAGCAGTAGGTGTTTTAGCGCCCATTAGCTTCATTTGTGGATGCGCCATGCCTAGGCTCCCACGCAGAGGTAATGGGATGGTGCAGTTCCACGCAATGCCTGTCTACACGAGCAGATGTGTTTACAGGATTCAGGGAGTTCCATGGCCAACCTACGCACTTGTTTACAGTTGTTGCCCATTTCGGATGATGGGGCGCGTGCCCGTGTCGAGGGGCCAAACTGTGGCTTCCAATGCTACTGTTGATAAAAGAGACCACAGCGCTGGAAACGTCTGATACGAATGGCATACGAAAAAATCGAGTATGCGTAGTCCTGTCGTTCTATTCGCTAAGAAAAGAGAAGAAAGCGATCAGGGTTGGCTCGGCGCAAGCGCGGTCCTCGCGACACGCTCCATCATCCGCAGCGGACTCAGGGTATGGTTGTACTATTTAGCCAGCTATACGCTACTACGTCGATAATGTCGCCTTTTATATATTTCAGTTAGATTTACTGATTAAGTTTGCGTCTATTTTTTTACATATCCGAGTTCTCTACAAAGCAAGTTCGCTACACAGGACTCAGCACACTGACACCTTTGCGCTGCTCGTTACTGGCTACCGCACTCATTACGACCCCCCCCCTCTCCTGGCGGCCAAATACGACCCCCCCCCCTGTTGGGGATCCCCAACAATGGGATCTGCTACCAAAGTTCGCTGAGCTGGTCTCGGGCTTTCACAGCACTGCGACACGTCTGTTTTTACAAGGGTTTCTTCTCCTCTAACAATAGCCGATATTTAGTAAGGATTGGTGTGTGTGTGCGTGTCACTCCCAGTCGAGTCCCGGTCGGACCCTCTTTTGCGAGGAGGGGTTTGCGTGAACTCCACGTTAGACACCGCTGTTCGAGCGCGACCAGGCCACAGCATATTCGATTGGCGGATTGGTGCGAGCTCGACCGCCCCCCCTTTTTTTCAAGGGTGCTGGTACGACCCCCCATGCTGTGACGATGCCTGACCGTGGTTGTGCATTGTTATACTCGGCGAGAAGTTGCTTCGAGCGGGGGCGGAGGGTATGTATGTTAGGGCTGTTAGGCATGACGACGGACATCTTATCAGGTGTAATAGTACCTATAACACAGACAAATTTTATAAAAGCTCATTTGCAGTGAACCAACGTAACTCCATAGGGCAGAAATAGCGACCCCCCCGCCTCCAAAATGTGCCGGCAAAAGCGAGAAAATCAACTATTAAAAATAAATTTTTGCCCACACTAAAATTACGACCCCCGTGCCCAATAGGAATCCCCATCGAACGCTGTGCCTGGAGCCCGGCGGCCAAGGTGTGGGGGGGGCGGGAGCGGTATTGTATACATGCCAACAGGAAAAACACGGAAAAGCTCCGCAATCAACGATGTGCTGATGCTTTGCTCCTTTTTTTACGAGCAAGTCGATCTCTAAAAACGCGCTAAAAATGCGTTTCAATCCCACCTCTCACCATTTTCCACAGTGCAGTCCTGCTAGTATCCTTCCATCAGACTGCCCTCTGTCCAATTCTCCTAGCAGATAGCTGCGAGCTGCGAGAGGAAATCCGCAGCGTACATCCACATAGAAAATGGACGTTTAATCCGTCGCTCGCAATAATCGCTGATTTGGAGATAAAGCAACATACAATCGTTGCCCAGAAAATAATTCCACCCCTCTTCTTTGTTTTCTAGAGAAAATGTAACGAAGAACTGTTGACATATGAATACGATTTATCTTGGAAGTCCTGATATCTTTGAGTGGAATTATGAGGCCATTTCTGGGGATTTGAATGTCCTCGTTTTCCGAACATCGGTAGAAATATCAAAGTTGTGGTGGAAGAGGTATCTTCAGTGGAAAGAATGCGGTTTCATGGGGTGGATATAATTCCCAGATCGAAAGGTCATAGATATGTTCTGGTGCTTCAATAGATTTTGAAAAAATAGCCTGAATGTAGCTGTGTCTTGTGCTAATGAATTAAGATGTGGAGTTTTTTATTTCCAACCAATATCTGAAGCCTCTGAAGATAACCAGCTGTTTGCTGAAGTTTAAAAGGTGGAAAGTAGCTGGCACAGTTTGTCTTCATTGCAAAATGTGTCCGGAGGGCATGCAGAACAGGCTGTTCCGGCATTGTAGATCTTTTCGTTGAGCTGATTTCCTCTGTAAAATGAAAAGCAACTTGTTGCTCTATCTAATCACAACATGAAAAGCCTAATGAAAAGCAGAGAGACAAGGGCTTGAGGGAGTTATATCCAAAGCTGGATTTGGATAATGTGTGGAATAACTCAAAGGACCACATCAGGGAACTGCTAAGTCCCCTATGAGAGAGAAACGTTGAATGAAATGAGTGAAGCAAACAAACCCAGTTTTGTGGTGACATGCAACATTCCAGTACGAGTTGCAGGAAACAACAGCACAACCCAAGTACTGAGTAGTTGCCCATGCCATCTGCAAATGTCGATAGTTTGGATATTTTGTTAACAAAAAATGATCATCTATTCTGGAGAAACGCCATGAGAAATGCTTCATGGGACCTTCAAAACGAATTTTACCCTGGTAAACCATTTAGTCGGTTGACCAACATTGTACTGTGTGAAAGTAACACCTTCCCTACGCCGCCAGTCACTCTTATCTGTTTCCACCACTGTTTTATAGCCTGAACAAATTTTTGCTTCCTCGGTTACGCTAACCGCTTGATATGTTAACTCAACTTACAACAACTAGAGCGTCCGTTTCAGCACTAGCACTGCTCTTTTCAAGCATATAAAGATTCTCTTGCACATCAGCAGGGAGATCAGGGGCGTTTATAAAAGAACACCTTTTCGCAGATTCGGTGGCACTGGCTTCCAGTGTGCAATTGTATTCCTAAAGGTTATTAAGCAAACATAGTCAGATTGTAAATTCATTCTGAAGAGAAGAGCCTCTTAACAAATGAGAAAAACTTGAAATACCATTCTCAACATATTAGTTGCAGCCGGCAAGATTATTTCCAGCCTTATTTTTCACCTCTCCTCTTGATAGTCTCAATCTAAAGGGGTAAAATTTACTTGGCCAAAAACGGTGCTGTAATCATGCACCTAGAGGACTG